TAAAAGACAGAAACACTCTTCAACAAAAAGAAAACCGGAGAGAGATGAGGGGAGAAAGCAATATGCAGGGAGTGAAACAAATCAGTTGCCAAGTAACCCTGAAAAGGAAATGCCACTGGTTATTGAACCTGCCATGTCTGACGTTTTCCGGATAATAGTAAGAGAATTCAAAGGAAAAGCTTTGATAAGTGAACTAAAAAGTCACAAGGATTTGTTGAAATATAGTTTCAACATTAAAGAATGGTTTCAGAGACACTCAACTAATTTTATTTTGTTAGAGAATGTGTCACACGAGATAGAAGAGATGGCTGTTGAATATAGATTCAGGATTTGCTTCAACTTTTGCAGTCCACGAGGATGCAATAAAACTATCTGTAATTATTCACATATTTGTAGAAAATATGTCTGCGGGCTCTGTCATCTTGGTGATAGGTGCAAGTATTCTCACAGTTTCGATGACCTCGTTACACAAAATAATGTGGAGAACTTAAATTTAGGACATTTTAGTGATGATGAGCTGTTGGTTGTAATGAGGAACTCTACTCCCTTCGTTTGTGAAAAGTACAACAAAAATGGGTGTCAGGATGATAACTGTTCAGAACTGCATATTTGTAAAGGCTACATTAAGAATGACAAAGACTTGTGTAGTATATCAACATCAATGCACAGTAAAGAAAAATGTGAGCGCTCTCACAGTTTTAACACAAGTCAAACTCGGAATATACTGAGAACATACTGTTTAGATCACGTGGACGAAGGTACGCTTAGAAAATTTGTTCTGTTTCATGCTCCAAAAGTAAGTGTTAAAGTAAAGAAGCACCATTTGTTTAGACCTAGTGATTCTCCCAAAAGCCTCAACGTTCCATTTGGAAAGCCTAAAACATCTCAAATAAATGTGACAAACCATTTTTTCATTACCGGGAACGGATGCTGTCGCAGCTCCTATTAAAAGAAATAAAGCAGTGTTGCAAAATATAACAGCTTCAGATGTTCACATTCATCCCAATGATGCTTTAATCTGTATAGACAATCTATATGGCGAGTGTAAACAAGGGACAATCTGCAAATTTCATCATTGTACCATGCCATACCAGTGGATCTACTCTTCTGTTTGGGATGAACGTCACGCATTGCCGGATAACATCAATAGGAAAATTGAAAAGGCCTATTGTGATGTAAACCAGCATGGTTTCCATATGTGGCAGGGGTGAGTAGAAATACACTGACCATTGCAACTACATTGAGTTCATTGGCTGTCTGTCGAAATAATGATACTCACTAACTTACCTATATATATTTCTATTCTAACCAGTGCTGAATTGCTTATTGACATATACTTTAATGAAATGAATGGATGTGTTCGGCTAAATTCTGGGGCAGCAACCAACACAATACAGTCAATTGAACGCCTCTCTACTGTATCATACATGAGCAATATACACCAACACAGTGCCAGTGATATTTCAACAAAGTGGATTTGGTATTGGAAAAACAATGGTGATGTTTGGACACCTGACAGTAATAACCAGGTTAGTTGTGATTTTATTGCAATGCATATTTGAAGTGTATGAAACAGAATCAAAATATCCAAATCATATTGGCAACTCAATGATTTTAGTCGCTTAAGAGCAAATGTCTGTATAGATCAAACAATGATGACAGGGGTCAAAAAATAGATTTGGCTCATATTTTGCACAGTGATAGTACTTGGCCCACAACCCCTCAAAATAGCTTTCTTTTAGATCAAAACTCTTTGTTGCCATGGTAACGGGCAAACAAAGTTTTCTTGCCATTTTACCCAATTTTCGCATCTCAAAAACACGGAAAATCAGCATATTTTACGGCACTGTCTCGGCAACACCTTTAAACCTATCATAAAAACAAAACAAGATCTGAATAGACCAACATTTTGGCTTTTTCAAAACTGTTGTGAAATTTCCAAAGACGTACATTTTAGTTCTTGGGCAGCCTGAAAACAAATCGATGTTTCAGCTTCAAAAAAAAATATTTTTTACGCCCAACTTTGTAACGCTTTAAGTGCATTGTTGCAAAATTTGGTATCTTGTTTGGTTGTCACGTGACTGTCCCTTAAAGTAGGCCACTTTTTGTGTTTGGCGAAAATTGTGAACTTTAGCCATATTCAAAGTACGCTACATGACGAAGTAAAATATATTTCTAATTCAACTTATTATCAAAGGTGAATCTATGTATTGCCTATCAAATGAATGCTTGCAGAGTTTCGGGTCATGACGTTCGGTCACGTGGATGTCCCTGAAAGTAGGCCATTTTTTGCTTTTGACGAAAATTGGGAATTTTAGCTTTGTTCAACGTACCTACGTGATGAAGTGAACAATAATTCTAATTCAATTACTATTAGTGATCTAATATTTTGAATTGTCGAACTGTGAATGCATAATAAAAATGACAGTTTTGTCGACAATGATTTCCTTATTTCACTTTCCGTTGATAGATTTTTGGTGTGGCAAATAATGATGAGATTGAAGCAGCCATGTTGAGAGGAGAGAAATACTACAGGTTTTCCACTGGACAGTTTCATTACATTTTGAACTTCATCACCATGAAACAACAAAACCAAGATCAGCTCTATAAGACAACCAGAGATGTAAGGCGCCGACCTTTGTATGTTAGTGGAGATGCTGTAAAGCAGAGTAAGAGGTATATATATATATTGTAATTGCCCGCATTTTTTAATCTGAAAATATCATCCTTTCTTATTAACACGTGTATAATTTTTACCCAATACTTATTTACACGAATCACAAATTACATCCTTGTAGTACAAATGAAAACTTTTTAATCTCTTCTGGTTCTAAAGGCACAAACTACCTACACAAATGGAAAGGATTGGTTTAGTATCACCTGAATGGGAAACGATGCCTGAAGGGAATGATTGTATTTTATGTCGTCTTAGTCCAAGTTCAAGTGGCTTCAAAACTGTGGAAATGTTATTCAGAAAGACCATGCCTTATTCAATACTTATAAGTATAGAAAGGATACAGAATGTGAAGCTTTGGGAACATTATCAAAGGTAGGTTCTCACGTAACACGTGTACACGTGGGATAAGCAATACAATGTATAAAATCCAAATGCCGAGAATCAAATATTTCTTTAAACCAATTTCAAATACCTCAATATGTGTAATAGCATTGTGATGTCGATTGGAATTCCAACTAAGAACGCATTCTAGCTTAGATTTCCCGTGTATTCAATATTCTAATTTAACTGTCATTATTATATTTTAACAGAAAGAAAAAATACATGGAACGGAAACAACCGCGACGAGAAATTGAAGAACAACTCTTCCATGGAACAGAGAAATCTTCAGTTCAGAAGATTTGTCACCAGAACTTTGATTTCAGAGTTTCTGGAAAAAAATGCAACACTTTATGAACACGGCGCGTATTTTGCGCGTGATGCAAGTTATAGCGATAATTATAGTCGTAAAGATGATAGTGGATATCAATATATGTTTGTAGCTAAAGTACTGGTTGGGCGATATACCAAAGGGAATAGTTCTTATAAGAGACCCCCTGAAATTGACAGTACATCGGGGTAATGATATGACTCCTGTGTAAACAACACTGATAAACCATCTGTCTTTGTGGTTTTCAATTTGTATCAGTGTTATCCAGAATATTTGATTACATACAGAAAACCTGTGTTAGGTCCGCTTAGGACAGCCTTAATAAGCCATCCACAGAATTCCACACATAGATTATCATCACTAACAACTCTTCAAACTCAACATTCAACCGTTGATCTCAGTTCGTCAAATACAGATCGTGTACATCATTCTATCAGAGCCCAATACACTAATCACACTGGGCATTCTACTCGTGCAAATATTGGTTCAACGACACCAAGTACAGACCCAGAACAATCTACCACTAGAACCAAATCCTTGTCATCAACTAGCAGTAAATTACGGCAATCTACCACAAATATTGGTTCAACTTCACTAAGTACTAGTCAGTCAGATCAATCTACCACTGGGAACACATCCTCGTCATTAACTAGCAGTAACTTACGGCAGTCTACTATCAGGGGGAAAATTCTTTCTCTCTCTGGGTTCTCC